TTTGCACTAAGAGATATAAATATGCCTCTCTGGGAGGAATCAGATTACGATTTTATTGATTCATTTTCTTGTATTTAAAGAAATCCCCAAGGCTCTGCGCGCGCTAAGCCTTCCGTGTGTCATTCTGAGGCTGACCCAGCGTGGCATCTCTGCCTCTTTGTGGAAACTCCCACAGGGTGTACTTTGTGCCCCTTTTCCAGCCTTCAACCTTAGCCTCTTTACTTTGTCCCAACGGAGCAGAGGCCCTGGCGGGCAGGCTGAGCTGGAGTGTCCCTGCAGAAGAGGTCCTTGTGCCTGTCACTGTCTCACAGGGTTCTGACTGGGCTCCCTGCCTTTGTTGACTTCTCCTCTGGATGCTAGAGAGTCTAACACTGGGTTTGCTGGAAGTGCCTCAGGGTTAAAGACAAGTATAACAGGTATTTCTCTGTTGATTAAGATGTTCACGCTTAAACTATGTAATTTCGAATCTTTTAAATACCGCTTGATAAATCATCTGATAGCTTAAAAGAATACTCCAGAAATGTGTTGACAATACATTTCTCAAAGGAAAACGCTGAGATTCAGATTTGAAAATGGGGTCCTGAGAGAAAGTACAGAAGCGGCTTGCCTTGCTCTCCACTGACAATGCCAGTCCCACGCCGGGTACTGCCATATGACCCCTGAGCAGAGGCAGGAGCGAGCCCTGCACCACGCTGAGCGTGGCTCTTCCTGCAAAGATTAGGGTGCAGTGAGGCTCTGCCTCTGAGAGCCTCTGCAGAACCAGACCATGATCTTGGACTCTGAGCTCCAAAGCTGGACGATATAAATTTACTTTTAATAAAAATGTTTTTAAATGAATCTTTGGGACAAAAACTCATCAAAGACTTCTTTTCTATCCTTTTCAAGGAGTAATTTTTAAATCCAGGGAAGATTTTAGTTCCTGCGAGAACTCCATGATGATGAAGAAGAACATGTTTGGAAAACTAGTATTCTGTTCAGTGGCCAGAGCAGCAGTGAGCGTACGGAGCTAATCACATTTAAGACCACAGGGAATATGTTTCCATCCAAGGTGCTGGATGTTGGATGTCAGCTGGAGAACCATATTCAGTATCAATGTATTAGGTGACGTTTTTCACAGTGCAAAACAGTGATCAGGGTCTCCAACCAGAAACTTGCCCTTAATATGTTTGGTGTATGTTGAAACGTGTGACACACGATTAAAGAGTTTTTTTTTTTTTGTTTTTTGGGTCACACCTGACGATGCACAGGGGTTACTCTGGTTCTGCACTCAGAAATCACCCCTGGCTGTGCTCAGGGGACCCTATGGGATGCCGGGAATCAAACCTGGGTTGGCCGGGTGCAAGGCAAATGCCCTACCCGCTGTGCTATTGCTCCAGCCCCTGATTAGAGGGTTCTTACATGGCACTGTTTAGGTTTTTAAGCCTCGTGAATGCATGTGCGGATGCCGAGACTTTCTATCCTCCTCACTGCATTTCTGCTGTGATGGAACTGTGTTGAGATAATGAGGGCTGCGACGCACTTCCCAGTGGCTGAGGCAGTGGGGAAAGGGAAGGGAGGGTGTGTGGGCTTCCTGCCCCGCTCCCCGAGTTTCCCGAGGAGCCCAGCTCCACTCAGGACGGGTTTGGCTGCCTCCAGCCTGGCCGTCTGTCCTCTGCAAATCGGCTGCTGGTGCTCCGCTCCAGTGCCTGGCCAGAGTGAAATACTTTGGGAATGTATATTTGCTTATTTGTGAGGGGCCCGGCCCAGCCGTGCCTGTGCCACGGTCCACGGTCCGAGTCTTCTGTTCTTGAGCAGCTTGTCCTGGTGGTGCCAGGGCTACACGGACAGGTGTCTGAGCGCCCACGAGGCACCAGGAATGACACTCAGGGCCATGGCCATAGTGTGTGCCCAACCACGTGAGCTGGCCCCGGGCAAGCACGTGACCTCCAGATCACATTTTCAACGAGTGCCCTGAGAGATGAGCTATTCTAGGTGTTGGAAATGCCACCAGAGAACCAAATCCCAGTCCTTGCTTTTCGCTTCCAGAGAAGGGGGAGCTGCCTGGCCCTTAAACTTACCTGAAGGAAACCAACTGCCGAGAAAGCCGGTCTGGAGAGAGCTGGAAGGGGAAAGAGCTTCACCAGGGGGGGTGTGTCCCACGTGGTCTCCGCTGGGGGTGCAAAGGGAGGCCTTCTCGGGCAAGATGAGAGAAAACATGGGAGCCACTGTGTGCCGGGGTGTGGGGGGGAGGGGCTCGCAGGAAACACAAGCAGAGAGTGCCGGAGAGATTCCAGAAGGCCTGAGCACGGCGGCTGGGGAATAGCGAGAAGGTCAGCCAAGCAGCAGGGCCAGATCACGGGATCCGGCAGCCTCCGGAGGGCGTGGTTTCTGCCTCCGGTTCCCCCTCACTGCAAGGGAGTAGGCCGAGTAGCCCACCTTCAGGGGAGTGGGCAGTGTCCACCTGGAAGGGGCCATGTGTAGGATTTGCCTGTCCTCAGTCCTCTGCACCCATCAGTCTATCCTTAGTGCCTGACTCTACTTTTGCTCACGGAGATGTGGAACCAAACAGGGCCTGCAGTTTCTCTGGGTCAAAACTGGACCAACATCACCAAAGGCTCAACCTGACTCACCGGACCGGGTTGGAAAGGGCAAGAAGACATGAATGTGGCAGACGGAGGTCTTGAATCCCAGAGCTTAGTAAATCGGCACTAACTTCTTTCCCTTTGGGCTTCCCCTTCTACAAACTGGAACAGCAGCACAGTCCAGGGTCTGAGATCAAATGAGAAGCACGCATCACTCCCCACGGGGTTGGGAGTTTCATAGATAAGTGAACCAAGGAAGAAGGGGTTTTGAATCTTTTTTTTGGGGGGAGAAGCAGTACACCGGATGGTGCTCGGGGCGTGGGAGGCCGTCCGGGGTGTCCAGGATGGAATCGGGCTGGCAACTTGCAAGGCAAGTGCACTATCCTGGGGCAGTATTGCTCTGGTCCCTGGGCAGGAATCTTTTAACTAGCAGCACACAGGAAGAATGCAGGCCCCAAACCCACGGAAAAATCCATGTTTTTCACTCGGCACTGAAGGCAACCTACCTCCTCGTGGTCTTTAAAAAGACTACAGCTTCCAGGTCAAATTTCTCTTTTCGGAATCGAAACAATTCACCCTTTGAGAGAATAAAGTAGGTAAATATTCCACAACTCCCATGCTGTGGAGCAAGGGTGTTAGAGAACCTAAAAATAATTCAGTGTTAAGTGTTTTTGTCTACTAAGGCAATTCCATTTCCTCTATCAGAATGCCGGAGAAAGGAGAGGAAAAAAGAAAAAAAAAACCCAAACCCAAACGCACTGTTCTTCAAATAAAAACAGGGCGGAAGATACTTGCTACTCCGAGAACATTTATTTAAATTCGTGGGCAGCTTCAGCAGGATTCAACACCTGAAAGAAAACGCTTCCCTTGGAATCGGCTGCAAGCAAATATTTACCCCCGGCCGCCCCGACCCCCACCTTTCCTGCCCGGCGCCCACGACCCCACGGGCGGGGTGGGCGGGGGAGGGTCCCCGTCTCCGGAGGGGTCCCCAGCGACCTCGTCGCCAGGGGCTCCACGCCCCCGGCGGGGGGGGAGAGCTGGCGGGGGCGTGCGGGGGCAACCTCCCGACGGCGCCGCGCGCGGGCACCAACCGTGCGGGGCGCGGGGAGGTGGGGGGGGCGTCCACGCGCGACCCCCTCCCCACCCCCGCGGGGCCCCCTAACCGAAACGCGGCGGGAGCAACGGCGCGGCGCGCGCCGCTCCGACAGGTCCCCGCGCGGGCGAGCCCTGGGGGGGCCGCCGCCCGAGCCCGAGCCCGAGGCCCCCGCCCGAGCGCGGCCCGCCGGGACCCCCACGACCCCCTCCCCCGAGGCCGGGCAGCGCCCCCGCCCCCGCCCCGCGCCGCCGGCGCGCGCAGGCCCCGCCCTCCCGGCCCGCCGGGGCGTGGCCCGGGCGGGGGCGTGGCCGGGCGGCGGGGGGCGTGGCCTGGGCCTCCGCGCGCGCACGCGCCCTCGGCCGGCCGGGCTACGTGTCGGGCCACGTGACGCCCACCCCGAAAGTGCCCCCGTGAAGCAACAGGACGTTAACAAAAAATTTTTTTCTTTTTTTTTTTGGTTGGGGTGGGGGGAGAAGCGCGCGACGGCGTTCCCGGCGGAGAGGGCGGGAGCGAGCGAGCGGGCGGGGAGGGAGTCCCCTCGCCCCTCCGCCGGCCAGCCGGCCCCGCCCCGCCCCGGCCGGGCCGGGCGTCCGCGGGGGGCGGCGGCAGGAGCGCGCCGGGCCGGCCGGGCCCGTAACGGCCGCCGCCCGCCCCGCCCGCCCGCCCGCCCGGCCGCCCGGCCCCGCCCCGCCCGGCGCCCGCCCCCGGCCCTCCCGCCCGCCCGCCCGCCCGGCCGGCGCCCCTCCCCCCGCCGCCGCCGCCGCCGCCGGCTGCGCCGCCTGAACTGAGGCGAACTCGGCCGCCAAGTGAGTGAGGAGGAGGCGGCGGCGGCCGGGAGGAGGAGGAGGAGGAAGAGGAGGAGCGCAGTCGGCGCGCGGCGGCGGCGGCAGCGGCAGCGGCTCCGCGGGCCCGGCCGAGCGAGCGAGCGAGCGAGCAGCAGCCCGAGAGCCAGAGCGGCGGCGGGGCGACGAGCCCGCGGCCAGGGCGAGGGCGAGCCAGGCAGCGGCGAGCGCAGAGCGAGCGAGGGCAGCGCCCGGCCCGGCCCCGCTCGGCCCGGCCCGGCCCGGCCCGACGACTCCGGGGCCTCGCGAGCGCGGCCGGCCGGGCAGCCCGCGGGGGCGCGAGCGGCGGGAGCGGCGGGAGCGGCGGGCGCGCGGCGGGGCGGCCCGGCCGGGAGGCGCCGAGGGCGCCGCCGAGCCCCGAGCCCCGAGCCCGTCCCGAGCGCCGGCCCGGCCCGGCCCGGCCCCGCCGCCCGCGCCCCGCTCGCCCGCCCGCCCGCCCGCTCCGCTCCGCTCCGCTCCGCTCTGCTCTGCTCGCCCGGGCGCGGCGCGGCGAGGCGCGGCGAGGCGAGCGCGGCCGCGCCTGGAACATGGTCGGGGAAATGGAAACGAAGGAGAAGCCCAAGCCCAGCCCGGATTACCTGATGCAGCTCATGAACGACAAGAAGCTCATGAGCAGCCTGCCCAACTTCTGCGGCATCTTCAACCACCTCGAGCGGCTGCTGGACGAGGGTGAGCGCGGCCCGGCGGGCGCCTGAAGGGCACGCGGGGGGCGCGGGGGCGCGGGGGGCGCGGGGGGCCCGGCCGGGCCCGCACGCAAGTTGCCAACTTCCCGCCCCGCCGCCGGGGAACAAAGGGCCGCGCGCGCGCCCCGCGCCCGTGGGAGCCGCCGCCCGCCGCCCGCGCCCCCGGGGGCCGCCCGCCTTGCGGGTGCGCGTGTGTGTGTCCCCCTCCCCAGCCCCCTCCCGCACACTGCGCCCCCCGCCCGCCCGCCCGCCCGCGGCCCCTTTAAGCGGCGCCGCTGCCCCTGTTTGCCTTGGCACCGCGAGCGCCGTGGAGGCAGAAAACTTTCTGGAATGTCAAAAAAAAAAAAAAAAAAGAAAGGGAAAGAGAAAAAAAACGAAAAAAAAAAAAGCGCCGGGGAGCGGAATCGCCGGGAAGTGCGCGGTGGCGCGCTCCCCGCGGCGGGCGCTAAGGGGCGCCACGCGGCGCCGGCCCGCGCTGACCCACATTCCCGCGGCGCCGCTCGCCGCGACCCCGCGTGGGACCCCGGCCGCCCGCCCGCCCGCCCGCGGGCGCGCGTGTCGGGACGGGGCGGGGCCGGGAGGGCAGGCGCGCGTGGACCGGAGCTGCTGGTGCCTTTTCTGCCCCCCCCACCCCGAAGTGCGAGTCGTGGAGGGGACAGATCTCGCTCTCCCGGGCGGGAAGTGGCCGGGGCCACGGGGAGCGCGGGGGGACCCGGGGGGACCCAGGGGGACCCGGGGGGACCCAGGGAGAGTCCTTGCACTGAGGATCGTGCGTGCGGGGTCGTGTCCCTCCCCGCGCTCCCCGAGCCGCCCGGGGCGGGTGGCCGCAGCCTCCCCCGGCTTTTCGCCGCGAGCGCGCGGGTCTGTCCCACGCGCGTGGGTTCTGCCCCTCGGGACCGACAGACACCGCCTTGCTGACCCCCTTCCCCCCCACTACCCCCCCCCCCCTCCCCCGGGAAACGAGCCGTTTTGGTTTCTGGGCCCCGAGCTGCTGCCGGCCGCGGGCGGGCGGAGGATGATACAAAGTTGCCAGCCCCGGAGTGCCGTGCGGTCTGCGTGGTCTGCGGCCGTCCCTGCTCGGACCCGAGTCGCCCCGAGTCGCCCCCGCGCGCCCGCGTCCCCTCGTCGGCGGCGGCGGGATGGCTCTGTGCGGTGGCTGGGATGTCCGACACGGGCAGCCGAATGGCTCGGAAGTGCGATTGTTTTCTTTTTTCTTTCTTTTTTTTTCTTTTATCAGACCAGGACAAACATGCAGGAAAAGGGACTTTTTTTTTTTTTTAGTGTGGAATAAGCTGCTTCCTGCCATTGTTAACCGTATTATATACTTAATTTGACATAAGAAAGAAAAAAAATCCTGATTTCTGAAGTGCATCACGATTCCTTGTGCTGGACGATCGATTTAATTCCCCCAGTGTGGCAAGTTGGTCATTACCCCTTTGTGGCGGCGTGTCAGTGATCTCAGGCACATTCATGACGACTTGCCTTTGCGCCTCGGAATGGCATGTGCCTTGACATGTGAAAAATTGTCTTAGGATTTTGAGCTTATTGTTTTTGCCTCTGATTAGTTTAATCGAGGTCGGATATTCTAGCTACAGTAGACGTGGTTTCTAATAATTAGAATTTCTTTGCTGATACTGTGCAGCAGCAGTTTCATTTTCAGATACCCTTCAGAAGTATAAAAAATTGCCTGTCCACTTGAGAATTTTTTTTTTGTCTAATGAGAGATTTGGGATTTATCTGTGGTAGATTTTCTGAGTTGACTAAACAGCTTGAATGCTTTTACATGGAGCATTTTCAAATTTATGCCTCGGTAACCTTTAGCCTATATTATGCCTGGACTGTGCACAGTGCCTAGGATTCGTCTTTTTCTGGGAGGGAGGGAGGATTGGAGGACACTCGGATTTCCCTCTGAAGTGTCTCCACCAGGATTACTTCTTAAAGTCGTGCATGGCCGTCTGGGCTGGGGCCATCCGTTACAGAACCCAGCGTAGGTTCTTAATTCCAGTTCTTGAAACCTCTCACTGAAGAGAGAGAGGAGATGAAATAGAACCGGTCTTTGACTGCTCCCTTTAGGGAGTGGACCGGGGACTGGCCAGGGGAGGGGCGAGTGATCGGGACAAGTCTTATTTTTCTCCTTGATTAAACCTTTCTCTGTCCTGAAAATGAAACTCAAGCAGGAACAGAGCTTGAATGTAATGCAGTTTTCTTGAAATATTTCAATTTAGAATGAGAACATAAAAAGATCAAGTAGATTTGACTGAAAAACAAACACGAAAAACCCAGTCAAGAGGAAAATGAAGTAGGGGTCCTAAAATCAGATTTTAATTCTCAGATTTTTAGGGAGAGGAGAGGCTAGAGACGCCAGTGAAAAAAATCAACGTGTAGATCATCTGGTTCAGAAGGAAGGCTAGCCTAAACCTTTTTACTGTGATTGTGACTATCTGAAAAATAAGTGTGTGTTTAATAAAAAGTGAGCAAAACATGTTGGGTTAACTTCTGCATTAGTGATATGAGAAATATATTTTCACGTGAATATTTTTGGTTATAATTTTTCTTTTTTTAATTTTGAATTTCTCACCCTGCTTTCTATTAAAAACTGGGGGCCAAAAATATTTTAAAAGTTGCCTTATTGTTAAACAATTTCCTGTTTATTTCCATTGACATCTCTATTATTAAAAGTATCACACTTCAAGTTTTTTTCTCTTTAGATTTTGGGTTTTAGTCCACACCTGGTGGTGCTCGGAGCTTAGTGGGGCTCTTTGCTCAGGGATCACTGCTGGTGGTACTCAGGGGGCCAGATGGGGTGTCGGTGGGTGTGCCTTGCGCAAGACAAACTCCTTCCCTCTTGTATTATTTCTCAGGTCCATAGATTTTTTTTTCTTGAAAAACCTTGCTTGTTTAGCAAAGCGTTGGTTTAAAATGGCATGGGAGTAATCTTGCATCGTTTCTTTCTAACGGTTTCATGCCCTCCACCCCCGAACACTGTTGGCTCTACAGTCCCAATACTTGGACAGACAGAAGCAGCAACAGTTTTCGCTCCGTCCATCAGTACAGATTGCTCTTACTGTTAGTACATCTGTACTAATAGTTAAGAGGAGGGACACCAATATGTAATCTGTGGTTCTCTCCATTCTTTTTTCTCCTCACCTAGGGAGTCTCACCTACCGTGTAATTAGGAAAATTGATGATTCATTTCATAGGCCATTTGTTCAGTGTTCATTTTGTTCGTTTGCAATTGAACTCCTCTGCGGACGGACCAAGTATTCTGGATAGGGCATGCATGCATACCTACTGTGAGTCAGAAGTTGAATCATTTTCCCCTTAACTTTATCCAGTTTGCTTTGCAGTGAAAGCTTGCTTCCAGGGGTTTAACATAATTCTGCTAATAGAAGCTTCTTTTTTTTCTAATTAATTGCCTTTTCTAGTGTGTTCCGATAGATCTTAAATGGTTTTGAGAGTATCAAGTGAAAGCAAGTCACTTTCGATTATTTTATACTGCTCTTGTACACGTTACATTTTTGTTACTATCCATGCACTAGTCACTGTCTTGCAGATGAAGTGCATCAGTTTTCCAGAACAGGGGTTTGGTTGACTTCTTAAGGGAAATAGATTCCAGTGATAAAGGACACGAAGTGTAACACCTACCTTCCTCATCTCTCTGCTTTGACTTGGCCTTTGCTGGAATGTGAGTCAGATGCTTTTCTTTGGAGGCCAGTATGAAGATAGTTGAGGACTTTTGTTTCCTTTTGGTATTAACTGTCTTACGGCAACACGATCATAGGAGTAGGTAGCTTCTTACAGTCCCGCTGGAATGACATTTTAATTTATTTGACAAATTCTGTGCACTTAATACAAATTGATTCTGGTTTATGATGGCGTCATTACAAGTGCAGCTTGCCTTTCTGGGTTATAATGGAAATGCGCTGTGCCTTTGCTGGGTTTTAGCTTTTTACCACAAGAAATAGTGCCCATTGAGCAACTTTCTACAAGGGCTTTGGCAGGGTGGTAACAATGTTTGATGATCTATTTTAGGACTTGGGGGGTGGGGTGGGGGCGTGGTGTAGGGCTGTACTTCTTGGGTAGGCCATTTAAAGAATTTTTCATTTGACTAGATAACAGTTTCACTTACAGGATTAATAGAACTTCAGTATTTTCTTTGACCCCTCTTTTTTTTTGGATATGCCTATAGTTTTATGTGAATTTCAAGTAGTATATTTTTCTCTTAATGAGAGAATTTAGGAGCCCTTAGACCCTTTTAAAATCATGGCACTTCAGATTCAGAAAAGATACTACAGGGGCTAAGGTGCTGGCCCTTGCACACGGCTGACAGGGGTTTGGTCCTCAGAACCACGTCACGGTCCCTGGAGCCCTTCTAGGAGTGATCCCTGAGCACAGAGCCAGGAGAAAGCCCTGAGCGTTGCTGGGTGTTTCCCTGAAACAAAAAAAAAGAAAAACCCAAAATGAATGTTTGGGTTTTGGGGCCCCAAATGGCTTCATTGTTTGTTGGAGTAAGATATTTGCAGTTTTATTTTCACTTAACTGGAAGCATAGACAGCTTTAAACTTTCCATAATAAGTAGTTTGTTTTGCTCCTGTGACTGTGTTAAGAAGTTTCACTATAAATATAACCCATGTCAGATGCTACTCTCTAGTTATCGTGTTTAGCGTTGTAGTATTATCAACTCTTTCTGTGTCTGTCCTCTTAGAATTGCCTGGAAATGTTCACTCCATTGGTTGCCTGGTATGTGCATACTCTCAGATATTTGTTGTATTAATAAATATGTTAATGCTTTTCCTCCTTTTTTTTTTTTCTTTTTGGGTCACATCCGGCTATGCACAGGGGTAACTCCTGGCTCATGCACTCAGGAATTACTCCTGGCAGTGCTCGGGGGACCATATGGGATGCTGGGAATCGAACCTGGGTTGGCCGCATGCAAGGCGAACGTCCTACCCGTTGTGCTATCGCTCCAGCCTCCCTTTTCCTCCT